AGCAAAGGTGAAGAATTGTAAGGAGAGACCAGATTTCAGGAAGACTGAATAGAAGCAGTCAATCTAGGACACCAGAGTTCTATATTCTTCCTCAAATATAGAAAAAGCTGCCACAGGCTCACCATTGACCACAAAAGGCAGGGGCTCAATTTTATATTTCATCTGAGAGTTGGCACTTCTAAGAAGCCAGTGACCATTAGAACCACAATGTGATGGGGGATCAATAGTGACTTAAAGGGAATAATGCCTCTTTCTGAACCATAACTGATATTTCCTGCAGCAGAGAGCGTTTTCCCCGAGGGCTGCCAGGCAGGGCCCACGCCTTGCCTTCTTACCTCCAGAAGCTTAACAACTGTTGACTGAAATAGTTCCTTCATTTGGATGCCAAATTACATATATTTATATTTACCTTTTTGTCTGAAGCTTTCCTGATTTCCTATGTTCTTTGTGGTACTCAAGAAACAATGGAAATGTTAGCTCAGGATGATGGTGTATTTTTTTTTTTTTTTTTTTTTTTTTTTAGCTTGCTTTGCCATCCAAATCTGCAGCCTGCCAAAGGTCATGTGGGATATAACACTGGTATATTTCCAGGTTTTTATTCTCATTTCTAAGTCCAGTGGGTTCTCTGTATTTAAGAGCCATTCAACTTTTCAGTTTCAAAAAAAAATTAAAATGCTGTGGCAGGATGTTAGAATCAGTTCTTAGAGTAAGAATCATGAGGAATTAAAATAAATGAATTTTCCTGTCGTTAAAATAGCATGTATTTTCACCATTTATTGCTACAGAAACAAATACAAGATGTGTGGATTGAATTCCCTTACTGACCTGGTACTAAGAATAGCAGTTGGTCTTTGCCCATCTGTGCTGCAATCACCAGTGGCCCAGGAATATTGCCAGTTACCCTAGATAGATCATACTTCTCACAGATATCAATTATAGCATCTTAAAGAGGGGAGTTCACCTTGGATTCAATTCATAGAAAAAGCACAAGCTTCCTCTCTTTGGCAAATCAAACAATAATTCTACTTTGCCTTCATACTTTTAGTTTCCATTTTAAAATGTGTGTTGGTTAAAGATTTGAGTTGAGGGAAAATAGAAAATGCTTTTTTATTTACACCCAGCCTTATGCTTCATTCAGAGACCTTATGTCCCAGCGTGTCATCTTGTATTTGGTACTGATTTCACATGAAAAGGCTGAGCTCCTCTATCAGTGTTCAACTTGCAGAGTTGGGGCATCCCCCTGATGTTTGAAATAAACCACTTTTGCAACTAAGAGTATGTTTTAAATGTACTGTGTGGAATTTGAGTCTCCAATTCAGCCCACATGATGCTACCAATAACTGACTTTTAAAATAATAATAATGGCAAAAGACCCCCCACCTTGAGCCAACATAAGATTTCTATATAAAAGTAAACTACCAGTTTAGGAGCTTCTTCTACAAGCAGTTGTTTTCTCTAGATACAGTACGATAGGACACTCCTCCAACCCAACTTCCTTTATCTGCTTCACAATTTAAGATGTGACTGCCTCATTTTCTATTTGGTGTCTCATGTCTGGACACAAAGCAAAAAAGAAAGATGCTAAGGATCTAGGTGGGACTATTAGAAATGAATGTGAGGGTCGGAGCAAAAGGTTGTTATCTAGGAATTTCTAATGGAATTTATAAGCTTATTAAAGAAACCCTTGTTCACTTTTTTACTTCTTCAGTGGTCTCAGGAATGACCTGTTTCTTTTTTATATGTCTTATCTATTGCTTCTTATGAAAATTTCTCCACCTAAAACCACAGAGGAGTTAAATACCAGCTTATTTTGTCGCTAAAGCCAGCCCACAGCTGCTTGGAGTTTTCTCAAGAGGGTAGAAATGCCCCTACCTGCATTAGCCCACCCATTGTAATCTACCTAAGCCTTGAAAGAAGTTGAAAGAGGAAACACTAAAAGAGAAACTCACACTGTCAGGCATTTCATCCTTGGATCTGGTATAAGTCGAATAAGGAGGTCTGGAATTTCCAAGTGGAATGCAATCCTTGTTTTCAGCAACACATAGTTTATTAGTGACCTTGACAGAAGCTGTTTCAGAAGAGTAAAGGGTCAAAAGCATGATTGGAGTGGGTTTAAGAGAAAAATGGGATGAGAGGAATTGAGACAGTAAGTATGGGCAATTCTTTGAGATATTTTGCTATAAAGGGAGTCAACAATTGAAGTAGTAGATGGAGCAGGAAGTGGAGTCAAATTGAGATTTTTTTTCCTGTTAAGGTAACAGTTGTCACTATATGCTGGTATGCTGAGCGGAACACTGCCCTAAAGAAGGAAGCCTTTCCAGTGAGGAGAGAGGGCACAGCTGCTGAAGGAATGTTCGTGAATAAATGAGAGCAGTACTGGTGCTCATCTTGCAGGGTGGTGTCAGACAGAGGAATGTATGTCTATCCAGTACTGGTAGATGTAGGGAGCCCATGGGAATGCCCTTCTGATTGCTTCTATGAATGAATTAAATAAGAGCAAAGAAGACCACATTTGAGAGGTGAGGGTGTGAAATAGTTATCTAGGAAAATGAAAGTATTTTTGCACTAGGAAACTGTAGTGCAATTCAGGTTGCACTTAACTTCATAGTCACGAAGTTAAGTGAGATGAGAAAAGAAAAGAATTATATGTGACCTTGGACATAGTGTGCTAAGGCAGTTTACATAGGTATACTAGCTGCTTTACAAGTGATTGGGTGGGAGAATTAAATGTATCAAAGTATTTTGAAATATAAGACTTAGTTGTTAGGAAAATTAGATTTGGGTTCCTTAGCACTTTGCCTTAGCAAAAAGCTTTTCAAATTTCTAGACAGCCTCTATCTCCAGAGACAGCAGTTGGCTTCTGTCAGTGATTTACTGAGTACCTTAAGTCTCAACAAATGACTTAACCTCCTTTTGCTTTTACCTCTCAGTCTATAAAATGAGGGTAGTAATGTTTAAAGTACAGCAAATGCTGTATAGATAAAGGTGCTAACAAACACAAGGTATTCATAAAATGGTATTTCAGGCCTCACTGGTAAGGTGATCAGAAAGTCAAAAAGATCAGAGCATCCAAATAGCCTCAGACTTGGATGGCAAATGACTAACTTAGAGTTTACAGAGGAAGGAAAAGATAAGATTCAATATAGGCATCACCTACATAGTTACCTTTAATTCTCACAGCTACTCTTCAAGGTTGATTATTAGACTCAAAGCATTAAATAACCAGTTGAAGCCAACTGGTGGAGGTTGGATTTCAATCCAGATTTACCTTATGATACCATACTCTTCACTGCCACCTGTGGAATTGGGCTCACTACATTATAATCATAGAATGTATGTTCAAATTTGTTTACAAATATTATAGACCTATTTTAACCAACTTAATCTCTTCTCTGCCATGAAACATTTCAGTAGAGTTGCCCAATAGAATACAGTTTATGTTTACAAGAAGTCAACTGACAAGGTAGGAACATCTCAAGGAAGGAAGAGTAAGGTAGCTAAAAAGTTGCGCTGAGCTACAAATGCCATTTTCAGACATCCTTTAGGGCAGGAGGGGGCCTGCGAAGAAAAACCATGTATGTGTGGTTATGGGAATACCATATCCACTCTGCTCATTACTGCAATGCAATATATACATTATAAACTCCTCTTAAGAGAAAATCACTGCTGTTAGATTTTGATTTTTGAGTAACAATGGCCCACCTGATAGTGGTGATAGGAAAAGTGTATTTTCTTCCAACAGCTAAAAGGTGATCATACTTCTAAAATTTGTTGAGATTGTCCAAGAAAGTGTGTAAAATACTCATCCATCACTGGAAGCCCCTGGTCAGGAAATGACAGTGCAGTAAATATCTTCAGCAGCCACCTTTTAATGTACAAGCTGTTTTCGGTTGGAATTTTCAGCACTCACATAAAACACACTGTCATGAGTGACTGCTTGTGCTCCAAAGTCATTACTATTGGGATAATGGAACATCTCTCAGCGAATAACCAAAAAACTTTAAATGTCATGTCAAGTTTGTGGAAGCCATTTCCAAGCCCCGTTCAAGGTTACATGAATACTGAGGGTGTCTGTTTTCAAAATGTTAGAGATGTACGAGAGGGAGCACTCATAGGATCGTATGATGTGTGAGTCGGTTAAAAGAAAATTTAGTGTTCCCTGAAAAAATCAATCAGCCAGAGCCCTTTAGTCATTAGTGATGGCCACTTTCTCCTTAGTCTCAAGATCATTGTCACTTACAAATGAAAGAAGGTGTGTGTGTAAATGTCTATATAGATTTGTGTGTATATAATTCTTATCGGCTAGGAAGTTTTAACTTCCAAATTCGTTTAATTGCCAAATTAGTTTAAGGGAAATCATTGAATTTTTAAATTCCTATTACAAACTTTCCTCCTTGGTTTTGTTCAAAAAGAGTTATCATTATTATTCACACTAATACTTCTCTTGGGTGAAAGAGTGTGAAAATGGTTTCTTTACCCCATGCACATTTATTGAGCATCTGTTGTGCAACAAGACCATTCTAGGCACTCACCTACATTGCATTAGTATTCAAAGCTATGTCCCTGATGTCTCAGCTTGCTTGCTAGTGCAGAGATAGATAATGGACAAATAAGCAAGTATATAATGTGTCCTACGGAGGAAAGATTTGGGGTGAAGAGAAAAAGAGTAAGTGATATTTAAGAAAGATGTCAAAGAAGACCTCTCTACTCAGATAGCATCTAACACACAAACCTGAACATAATAACTGAGCCATCGACGTTTCAGGCACATAGGAAGCAGCAGCATTAATGCTATTGAAATGATTGTGCATTGTATTTTAGTTTTTCTTAACCTCTGTGTGTTTATTTTAAATCTAACTTACTCTGTTGAATCATTTCATTTTAATCTGTCTAAAGGACTTGTTTATTGAGGATAATTTTTCTAGATTTATGCTTCATAATGTGCACTGTCCTTTCTTATTGCAGTGATAAGTTTTATGTTTCTTTCATCCTTACTATAGAAAATCAGAAAGTGCCGTTGACAGAAGGGTCACGTTCACACTACAATATCAATTGCCACTCAACAAGGACTCCAGTCGCCAAGGAACTTAATTATAATCTAGACACTCATACGTCTACAGGGAGGATCAAGGCAGTTGAGAAGAAGGAAGCCTGTAACATAGAAAGCAACAGAAAAAAAGAAATGGAACTTCCTGGCTCTGTTTCTAAAAATGAATCCGTTCCTGAAGTTGAGGCCCTGCTGGCAAGATTACGAGCTTTATAAATTAAACTGGTAAAAAATGATTAAGCCAAATATAAAGCTATGCTCTAAGCTATAACACTTGAAAAAAATTGCTTTTTATATGAGTGACTTTATATAGCTTTAAATTATGGTATATATTAGAAAAATAAAGCAAAGCTAAATATATGATTGCAATGCTTTTTCTATGTGCTTGAGGTTTTAGCTTATTCAAGATTGTAATGGGCTTTAATGCTTTCTTTTGGTCTCCTGGTATTCACACATTCTATATTTGGTGGTTATATTATACATAATGATTTAGAGAGCACGTAGGTGACTATGTGTTCAGCAGTGTGTCCTAAATATCTTTCTATGTCACTATAATTGTAATTTTTACATTACTTTATTCAAAATTAATGAATGTGAAATCATCAACCTGAAGTCTTGCTACACATAACCATGTACATTCCATGTATATTATTTATATAGGCCTATTTTCTCCTCAATTGGAATTTACATGCTTTTCAGTTATCGTATCGACACAAAAAACTGAATGTGTCAGATATTTGAGGAGATGGTTGTAAACTCATTATCATTATTATTAAATTCATTTTAGTTAGACCCTGCAAAAGTTAAAAGGCAATTGAGTACATTTCCAAAAATAATGTACTAGGAATGTATGTTTCTCTGCACAATGCATGCACTTTTTTTGTATGAAGTGGAGCTATGTAGTATCGTGTTGCTGAAACTTAGTCAAGTGAACATTTTTTCTCCTAGTGATTAGGACTCAAACAGGATTGCCATTTTGAAACTTTCAATTTTTTTTTAAATTTCTGTGAATGAAAATTGCCATTTTCTTTAACCTGACAATCAATAACTAACAAAAATTGTTTTAAGAAAAGTTTCCCTATGCCGATATTGCAATTTTACCTCACTTGAGGCACTTGTTAATTCTATAGCCAAGAAATAAACTTATTTGCTCTAAATGAAAAAAATCACTTTTTTTTTATCATTAGCATATACTATGAATTAGCTGGAACTAGGATGTTGATATGCAATAAATCTAAGCATATGTTGTTTTATTATGACAATAAGTGGCTGCTGCTCTTTCACCTTCAGTTGAAAATCTGTTATATGGAACTAGTCTTGTGAGGTCCAATGCTTTTTATTTCCTTGTTTAGGTTGACACCTCCTCCTTTCAACTCTAACTTAACAACGTTTAATTAATTAGAACTATGAACCAGTCCCTATTTATAGACATTGGGGAACACAATGTTATCCACAACCAATGCGGGAATAAGCTGTTCTTGTATTTAGTGCTGAAATATCCATTTGCCCTTCAGTCGCAATTCCTATTTTCTAGTGAACCAATCTTAGAAATCATGAAAGGCATTTACACATTTAAGTAGACAGGAGTCCTAACAGCAAGAAAAGAATTTTACTGGTGCCTTAACATGCTTTTGCATGTTTAAAAACAAAGCTGAAATTCAAACAGATAGTTTAGACAATGAAACACCCTGGAAACTGAGGAGCAGCCACAGGGGAGGCAGCCCAGTGAATAAAGGGAATTGAAATGATACAGACTACTAGGGACTGAGACAGACCAAGAGTCCCCTGAACATCTGTCTGCAGGAGCAGAAGGAGAGCCTTCAAGCAGGAGGGCCAGGAGCCACCCCTCTCCCTGACTGCCAGAAACTGGCACTAAGCTGCCCAAATAGGACTGTAGCTGTGAAGAGGAAAACACAGAACAGAGGTTGACAGAGATAAGTGCCAACCAAGAAGCAGATCATTTTCTGTTGCAGATATTTCCTTGATAAATGCCCCTTCAACAATGGACTGGAGGTTATAATGAGGGTTTTTAAATTCATAACATTCCTTTAGCCAACTATAGATGAAAGCTATAGCATTGACCTTTAATTTGAAGGGCAGACATTGAGGTACAATTCCGTGTTTCTGAGCAAACAGAGTTTGTTCATTTGAATTAGTAGATAAAAGGCCAACTCAGTAAACCATCTGACACAGCTCAGTGACTTGATGAGGATGTTCCATCCAGGCTAGTGACAAACCCCAAACAGTTTCTTCCCCTTTCTCTCAGGCCAGTGTAGAGAATTTGGCAAGAACACATAGACAACTGTGCTGTCTCGGAGATCAATGAGTTGTCCCAAAGTAAAGACCTCCGGCTAACAAGTTTTCTGAATCAAATATCTAAGGTAATTTTTTTTTTTTTTTTTTAATTTTCTAGAGGCATGTCTTATTTATTTATTATTTGTTTGTTTGGTTGGTTTATACATGCACTGGGTACAGTCAGAAGCGCGGGAGGGTGAGAGAATTCACCAGAGCCAGAGCGGGGAGCAGAGCAGGCAGAAGGACCGAAGGACACTGCTGAGGGGAGCAGCGGGCGGCAGGAGAGGTCTGCGCGCCATGTGGGACCCTCCTCCGGTGGCCGGGGAGCAGCCGGGGATTGAACCGGCTGCAGAGGTTGCAGGCAGCTTCGCAACCCAGCGCTCAACCGCTGCGCCACCGGGGAGGCCCTCTAAGGTAATTTTTTAAAAAGGAAAGCAATGTAATTATATGCATAGATGCCCTTTGTTAACATATTTGAATATTTAAACAAAGTATATCCAAAACAACATCTAATGTTTTATATGAAGAAATATATTTCAATAATTCATATAAAATTAGTTATGTATAAAAAGTTGCTCTAAAACTATTTCAGTTGTTAGCATACTCTTCAAAAATAGTTATTAATGACTTCAAAATGTTAGTTTAGTCACAAATGATTCCCAAGTGCTTCATATTTTAAAGTATCATAATCTGTTCTAGCTCTGAGTTTACTAGTTAGAGACTAAATTGCTTAGGCTGTATTATATATTTGTGCTAGATTTCATCTTCTTAAACACTTTTATAAATACTTACAGGTAGACCGAGAGCACAACTGGTAGTTTTGTCACAATCTTTAGCACAAACTGTGTAACTTTTGAAAGTAATAGATCCTAACATGTAAACTTAATCTGATTAAAAATCATACTCAAAAGTGAAAATCAAAAAGTTGCATTCATTTTCTTCATATTAAAATATTTTAATGTATTACCTATTCGTAAACTAAAAACCTTCTCTTCCAAAAACTTGAAGCGAAGGGAACACATCCAAAATTATTTTTATGAAGTCAGTGTCACCCTGATTCCAAAACTAGACAGAGCAGCACCATATATATATTTCCTGATCAACATAGATGCAGAAATGTTCAACAAATTATTAGTAAACGAAATTCAGTAATACACTAACAGGATCACATGCCGTATCAAGTGGGATTCATTCCAGGGATGCAAGAATGTTTCAACATACACAAATCAATAAACATGATCCACCAAATCAAAAGGATAAAAAAATTATTTGATCCCATCAATAGATGCAAAAAAAGCATTTAATAAGATTCAACATCTACTTATGATAAAAACTCAAAATGGGTTTAGAAGGAACAACCTTCACATAATAAAGACCAAAAATAATACCAACCCACAACTAATATTTTACTCAATGGTGAAAAGCTGAATACCTTCACTCTAAGGTTAGAAATAAGACAAGAGTACCCACTATCAGCACTTTTACTCACATAATATTAGAAGAGTTAGCTAGAGCAATTAGACAAGAGAAAACTCAGTGTGGAGAATGTGATTTTACACATAGAAAACCTTAAAGATTCCACCAAAAAAAAAATCTTAGAAATAATAAGCAAATTTAGTAAAGTTTTCATGCTATGAAATTAATATATGGAAATATGTTTAATTTTTATGCACTAATGAAATATCAGAAAGAATTTAATCCCATTGATATTTGCATCACAAAAAATGAAATGCCTTGGAATTTAACCAAGGGGATGAAAGGCCTGTACACTGAAAACTAGAAGGTATTATTGAAAGAAACTGAAAAAGTGGAAAGATATTCCATGCTCATAGATTGGAAGGATATCATCAAAATGTCCCTATTGCCCACTACAATTTCAGAGTCAATTACATCAATTAAAGTCCCTATCAACATCCCAGTGGCATTTTCCACAGAAACAGAACAACCAATCCTCAGATTTACATGAAACCACAAAAGATCCCAGACAGCTAAAGCAATCTTGAGGATGCACTTCATTATTTTGAACTATATTACAAATGTTATCAAAACAGTCATACAGTCACATGCAAACAAATGAAATTGGGCCATAGCTTATACCACACACAAAAACTAAGCCAAAAAAATGTATTTAAAAGCCTGAATGTAATACCTGAAACCACAAAATGCAAGAAAGCACATAGGCAGTAATCTCCTTGAATAGGTGTTAGCAATGTTTTTAGTGTTTTTTTTCCTTTTATCTTACACCAAAGACAAGGGAAATAAACGCAAAAATAAACAAAATGAAAAGACAACCTAGTGATTAGGAGTAAATATTACCAAATTATATATCTGGTAAGGGCATAATATCCAAAATATATAAAAAACTTATGAATTCAATGACTTATTTTATTTTAAAAGAGGCAAAGGATCTGATTAGACTTGTTCAAAGAAGATATAGAGCTGGCCAGCAGGCACAATGAAAAGACACTCAAAATCACTAGTCGGGGAAATACAAATTAACTACAATAATAGATCAACTCACCCGCCAGAATGGCTATGACCAAATACAAGAAATAGCAACTTTTGTTACTGGTGAGAATGTGGAGAAAACGGAAACCTGTTCATTGTTGGTAAGAAAGTAAAATGGTACAGCCACTACATAAAACAGTTTGGAGGTTCTTCAAAAAATTAGAGCTACTTTGTGATCCAGCTGTTATACTTCTGGGTATTTATCTAAAGTAAATGAAAACACTAATTCAAAGAAATGTCTGTAGGAATCGGTGGTTGGAAAAGGGGGCAAAATAGAAAAAGGGCATCAAAAGATACAAATTTCCAGTTCTAAAAATCAATCACAGGATATATCATACAGCATGGGGTCCATAGTCAATAATGCAGAATTGAAAATTTGAAAAATTGCTAGGAATAAATGGGAAATACTTATTGTGGTAATTATTTTGTGTTGTACACCTGAAATTAAGGCTGTAAGTCAATTATACATTAATTTTATTTGTTGTTGTTAGAGCCAGGAATTGTAGCTGGCAGAGACCTGGTAATCAATTATGTCTGGAGAATGGTCATGAGTGTTTTTAAAATGTGTCCCAGGGCCAGATTGTTGAACCATTCCTCTAAGGGCCACCCTTTGGCAACACACATGGTGTTGCCAAAAAAACAGACACTACATGTTATTTCAGGATTGAATCCAAATAGTCCCATAAAATGAAAATAGTGGAACCTTAAACTATAAAAGTTCATCCCTAAACAGAGCTTTGTCTTTTTTTTTAAAAAAAAAAAAAAAAAAACAGGAACTGGGGTACAGTCAAAGGTGCAGGAGGGTAAGAGAATTCTCCAGAAACAGAGCGGGAGCAGAACAGGCAGAAGGACCAAGGACACTGCTGAGGGGAGCAGTGGGCGAGACAGAAGAGATCTGCCGTGCCAGGTGGGTTTCTCCCTGGCTGTCCAGGAATCGAACCCATGTACAGAGGCTGCACACAGCTTCACAGAGCAGTGCTCAACCCACTGTGCCACCGGTGAGGCCCAGACCTTTGTCTTTTAAAATGAGTAGAAAACTTAAATAAGGGACCAGGAAAATGAATAACTATAAGAAAGTGAAAATCAAAATCAACAAAAAACTATGAACCAGAGACACTTTTTGGGGGTGGGGGCGGGAGGGGAGGGATTGGGGTCAGAATGGGGGGGGTTGCAATTGTATGGGGAATATAAAAATAAAATTTATTAAAAAAATAAAAATAAAATGAGTATAAGCAGTTACAGTTGGGGGTGGGATCTCAGGTAGAATGAAAGTTAACTGTTCTCTAATTAGGGTCTGACTCTAGAGGCTTCTGTGTCTCCATTCCAACACTCCAATTAGATTACTTGATTTCAGCACACACTGTTGAGACATCTCCAGAGATAAGAACTTAAAAGGAATCTTGGTTTCTTTCAGGAAAACTTAAAATGATAATTTTTCCCGTATTCATTTTGAACGCCAGCCATTGGACCAAAAAAATGCTCCAG